ACTGCACTCCAGTCTGGGTGACAGAGTGAGACTCCAACTCAAAAAAAAAAAAAAGCAACATACAATAAAATCAATTTTTTTCTCATCAATGTTATAATGAAAGGACTCTGTAACTTGAGGACCTGATGTACATTGTTTCACTTAAAGTTGCAGTTTCCAAGACCCTATTGACAATGTTATGAGTGAAGACTTGCTGTATTTTGAATACCATCATTACCTTCTCCATACCATTTGGTTCCCAAATCTCTATATTGGAGAGAAAAAAGTATTACTCCTACTAAGGACCCGTAGGTCTGCTCACCTCTATGAACTCAACTTACCATTGCTTTTCTGCTTGAAAAGCAGCACAGATGCAGGAGGAAAAGTGATTGGAGCATATACTGTCACCACTAGAGCTGTGTCAGCAGTCAGGAATCTCTGAAATTTATGTTTGTCCGCTGCCATAATAAGAGTTCAAAAATAAAAACCAAAATTATTTAGAGAAAACATAGGTATATATCCAGAGGTCTGTGAAAAGCTGTATTACTGCAACTCTTTAACCTAATGCAGCTCGCTTTTCTCTACCCCACTAGTTCTCAAAAATTGTTCCTGCCTCAATAGAACTGAAAGATATAACTCAATCTTGTCTTGGAGATCAGTATTTTGGAGCTTGGATTATATCTGGGGTTTGAAAAGTTCTTCAGGTGATTCTGATGCCCATCGCTCCTACCTCTTTTGAGAATCGATGCATTATAAAGAATATCTTTGCAAAATCAACAGTCTTGAAGAAGCAGGGGTTGGCAAACATTTTTTGTAAAGGGCCAAATAGTAAACACTTTAGGCTCTGCAGCCAGTTTCTGTTCTGAATCTCAACTGTACACAAAAGCAGCAATAAACAATACTTTTTAAAAATTACCATGCTCCAATAAAACTTTGTTTAGGCTGGGCTTGGTGGCTCAGCCTGTAATCCCGCACTTTGGGAGGCCAAAGCCAGTGAACTGCCTGAGCCCACGGGTTTGAGACCCGCTTGGGCAACTTGGCGAGACCTCACCTCTACAATAAATTTTTTAAAAAATTAGCTGGCGTGGTAGCATGCGCCTGTAGTTCCAGCTACTTGGAAGGCTGAGGCAGAAGGATCGCCAGAGCCCAGCAGGTTGAGGCTGTGGTGGCTGGGAGCATGCCACTGCACTCCAGTCTGGGTGATAGAGTGAGACTCCAACTCAAAAAAAAAGAAAAAAAGCTTTGTTTACAAACACAAGTAATGGGAAAGATGTCTACCACCTCAGCCTCTCAAAGTGTGCTGGAATTATAGGCATGAGCCACCATACCAACCCCACTCATCCCTTTTTTGAATACCAAGGTGACTGGAGGTGGTGGCTCACGCCTGTAATCCCAACTCTTTGGGAGACTGAGGTGGTAGGATTGCAAGTGCCTAGAAGTTCAAGGCCAGTTTAGACAACATGGTGAGACCTCATCTCTACAATAAATTTCTTAAAAATTAGCCAGACATGGTAGCACGTGCCTGGAGTCCCAGCTACTTGGGAGGCTGAGGCAGAAGTATTGCCTGAACCCAGCAGGTCGGGGCTGCAGTAGCTGTCAGCTGTGAGTATGCCACTGCTCTCTAGCCAGGGTGACAGAGTGAGACTCCAACTCAAAAAAATACCCAAAAAAACAAATAACAACTGAAGTTATAGGAAAATATTATAAGGGAAAGAAGAATAAAAAGTATCCAGAGCACTTTTGATACTGCTGTCATCTTTCTCCTGCCATTGCTGAAAACTAAGTGAGCTAAGATGATGTTCAGAAGCCCCTAACTTAGTGCACAACACATCTTCCTACTCCTAATGTATAGGAATACAATCATTTTGCCACAAGAGTCCCTAGTTACTTCTTTAAACCCTCACCTTGCCAAGCATGGTGGCTCATGTCTATAATCTTAGCACTCTGGGAGGCGGAGGCTAGAGGATTGCCTGAGCCCAGGGGTTCGAGACCAGCCTGGGCAACTTGGCAAGACATCTCTACAATAAATTTTTTTTAAAAAACCAGCAGGACGTGTTGGCACATGCCTGTAGTTCCATCTACTTGAAAGGTTGAAGCGGAAGGATCGCCTGAACCCAGCAGGTAGAGGCCGCAGTGGTCATGAGCATGCCACTGTACTCCAGCCTGCCTCACAGAGACTCCAACTCAAGAAGGAAAAAAAAAAAAAAAATAGGCTGGGCTCGGTGGCTCAGCCTGTAATCCCAGCGCTTTGGAAGGCCGAGGTGAGTGGATTACCTGAACCCGCGGGTTTGAGACCCACCTGGGCAACTTGGTGAGACCTCATCTCTACAATAAATAAAAAATTAGCTGGGCATGGTAGCACGTGCCTGTAGTTCCAGCTACTTGGAAGGCTGAGGTAAAAAGATCACTAGAGCCCAGCAGGCCAAGGCTGCGGTGGCCGGGAGCGTGCCACTGCACTCCAGTCTGGGTGATGGAGTGAGACTCCAACTCAAAAAAAACCAAAAAATAAAAATAAGCCCTCACCTTCTTTAAACCCTCACCCAGTAGTCTCATAACATCTCAAAACCCATCTCTCTCTGTTTTACCTAACTATGAGCCACACCCAGCCTCCAGCCCTCCCACAGTGCCCTTGGCACATTAGACACCAAGGTTTCCACACCCTTTTTATAAGGCTGCCAATTCCTATTCAAAACCTACTCTGGAACAAAGACTCATGGCAGAAAAGCCTCGGCACTACACAGAGGTTGCAACTCTGGGATACTTCAGCCAGGTTCAGACATTTTGAATAAAAACATCATTGGCTCCTAAGCCAGAGTACTGAAAAATACCTCTAACCTAGAGATGTAAAAGTTTGAAACTGTGGATTCTATACATCTCCACCAAAAGTAAGATTACCAAAAAACAGTAAGATGGACAAGAACTCAGATGTTCCCCACTGCTAACCTGCAGTGTGCTGAGAGAATAAAGGAGAGGCTCGGAAGCGCCTGAATCCACAATGGAAGATCAGCTCTTCTTTGGCTTTCACAGGTTCAGTGTTGCCCAAGTCTCGCCTCACTACCATATTCAATACTGACATCTGGGTACCAAATAAGAAAACAAAACAAAAAAACCTTCATACTCTAGGAATACAACTGTCAACCTAAAAGAAGGCATCCCAAATTAGAAGATTCAGATTCACTGTAAGACCTAACAAATAATTAATGGTGGAGTGTACATGACAGAACCGATTCATCCCTTCACCCCCATCAATGACTGGCATTGGAGTCAAACACAGTCTAATCAGAACTTTCAGGCACCCTTCTATGCTAGCTTACCTTCCTGCATCTAACATAAAAGAGCTCAACATCAGCCACAAAAATCAGTGACCTTCAAGTCATTCACTTACCACACACAAAACCACTCATTTAAGCCCCCTCTTTCTCAACACTTAAACCAGCCAAACAGCTGTTACATACCACCCCCCCCCAACATATACAACTACTGGCCATCAAGTGAAAAGAGGTCTATACCTTGGCATTAACCTTTATTTTTAAGGCTGCCAACCCCTGGTGAAAATCTAACCTGAAAAATATACTTTTCTCAGAGAAGTCTCAGAACCACACAGAGACTGCATCACTGAGATGCTTCAGATAGGTTCAGACATATTGGGTAAAACCATCATTGACTTCTCTATTATTCTGACTCCTAATCATAAAGGCAGAATTTCTGCATCCCAATGAGCAAAATGTCAATCATATAAACAGAATTTTAGACTGTCAGAACGGGTTGGAAAATTTCATAACTCCCCATTTCCCACAAGACACTAATTCACCTTCTGTTCATGAGGTAGTAAAGAAAATGCAATCAAGGGTGCTCCTTGCCTGAAGCACTCAACCACTGAGACAGGGACTTCAGAGACATGAATTGTGACATACCAGCCAACCTGCCATAAGAAAGAGAAAACAATCACGAGGTTACCTTTAAAAATCCCAATACTAGCTGGGCTTGGTGGCTCAGCCTATAATCCCGCACCTTTGGGAGGCTGAGGTGAGTGGATTGCCTGAGCCCACGGGTTCGAGACCCGCCTGGGCAGCGAGACCTCACCTCTACAATAAATCAAAAAATCAGGGGCGTGGTAGCGCATGCCTGTAATTCCGGCTACTTGGAAGGCTGAGGCGGAAGGATCACCGGAGCCCAGCAGGTCGAGGCTGCAGT